TAGACCGCTGATCTTTGATGTTGACGTTTCGAGCAGTATCGCTCGAAGATGATATAAGCTGCTGATGATAGTCACAATGGGCACTGATAATGTTTATTTGCACACCACTGTATAGAAATGTCTGAGACGTCCTTGACTACGCGGCACGAAAGTCAAGTCTCCCGAGGAATAAAAAATAATGTTCTGATTTTAAATTGGTTCCTTGCTCGAAGGACCAAAAAAATGTAGGGGTTGTTCCTACACTTGTTGATAATGATAATTGATAGTGATAATTGATAATCTACGGGGATGATAAATAAAAGATACGTCCCGTAGTGAGCGCTTGATGTTATACACTGATTTATTGTATAGTAATATATGTATAGTGAAATGATATATGCTACGTAAGTGATAATTTATAAGTATATTATTGTTATGGTACGGTGTTCCGTACATTAGTAATGTGGACTGATGATCTTATTTCTAGCAATGTACCATGTCAGGTTGACCTCCACGCGGTTCCCCCTGGAAATTATCATGATAAATTCATGGTGAATTTGTCATGATAGGCTAACTGACCTGACCTCATACTCATCTTATCATCCTCCACTGGTGCCCCGCCAGCGTAGACCGTTGGCGCGAGCGGTGCACCATTCCATTATCAACCCTCAAAAAAAACCATCCTCTAGAATCACTCTATCTATTAAAAAAATCCGCTTCAAAATCCGTTGCGTAGTTTTAAAGATTTAAGCATACATAGGAACGGACAGACAGCGACCGCGACTTTGTTTTATAATATGTAATGATGATAATATATTTTTTTTAAATGTTATCAATTTATTAATTTGAATATATCGAATATTTTCGATTGTGTGTTTATATTTTTGCTACGATGAACCATTTGCCATCATGTGGGTCGTATCGTATGCTTACGTACCACCATTCTGGTAGAAAGAAATACAAACCTTCAGGTCACCATATACGCTTTCCTTCCTTTTGACAGCCTTTTTATTATGTAATTTAGATGGTATTCATCATCATGACATCATCCGTAGTCTCCTATAGGCAGCATTTGATGATTAGCTACCGTAACTCAGCATTAAGATATTCTTCCACTGTATCTTACTACTCAATCTTTAACTGAAACACACTTTAAGCAAACTATAATAAATATGAAATAGGTGCGCGTTTACCGCTAAAAAGAATCCATTTATCGTATCTCCTCAGTTTCAAGACACTCTCCTTGATGTGAAGCCAAATCTCGAGGTCCTTGGCGTTGATATATCTAGTGACGTTCAGTTTTGCGGTCATTTGGAGGACAAGGCTAAAATAGCCTCAAAAAAGCTTGGTGTGCTCAGTAGAGTGAGACGGTATTTCACGGCGGCCCATCGCTTGCAATTATACAAGGCGCAGATCCGGCCGCATATGGAATACTGTTCTCATCTCTGGGCGGGAGCACCACAATACCAGCTACTTCCATTTGGCCGCATTCAGAACCGAGCAGCCAGAATCATTGGTAATCAACGTCTATGTGACAGACTTGACCCATTGGCTTTGCGGCGAGATATTGCATCTCTGCATTTTCTACCGCATATATCACGGGGAGTGTTCTGAGGAATTGTTCGAATTAATACCAGCTGTTGAGTTTCACCACCGTACCACCCGCCCGAAACTGAAATACCATCCTGATCATCTGGGTGAATGGCGGTCTTTCACAGTGCGGTTTTCTAGAAACTTTTTGCCTCGCACAACCACATTGTGGAATCACCTTCCAGCAATGGTATTTCCGAACTGATACGATTTTAAAACCTTCAAGAAAAGAGCTTATTCCTTTTTAAAAGGTCGACAACGTACTTGCAATTCCCCTGGTGTTACGGGTGCTCATGGGCGGCGGTAATCACTTACCATCAGGTGAGCCAAATGCTCGTTTGTCCCCTGTGTTATAAAAAAAAAAGTCAATATGACATGTTTTAAGGCATTTCCCATATCCCTCTCCATACAACGCAAGCTACAATGAAAATTTTCCAAAATAACTATTTAAACTCGTTGCAATTTTGTACATAAGGCCACTAAACAGTTTACACTATTCAGATTTTCTTTATACAAGTTTGTATTAGAATTACTCGTAACTGAAAAATTCAATTTTGATCAAAAAAAAGGATGCATGTAGCTCATTTGTATGAACAATCCAAGCTATTTCACGATAAAGTGTATGTAAGAGTCAAAGTCAAAGCAATCGTATACATACAACACTAGAGTCTAGAATAACCTAGAATATTCGGTCAAGCCGTAGTTCTGCTTATTTCTATCATACATAAGATAATCTATACATATAAATAAAATTGTAATGTCTGTTTGTAATATTGAAATAACCTTTTTTTATTATCTTATTGTATATTTATATTACACCCAAAAAAATAGTGCTGGTTGGTAGTTTGTATTCTCACGTTTCGACTTGTAAATGTAAACTTACAAGGAATATTTAAAAGAGCAACACACAAGTTTCTTGCTCGTTCTTCTTGTGATGAGACAGCTTTCTGAACGAGTGGTAGATAAAAAACAAATGGTTATATCTGTTCAAAAGTACTTAAATTAAGTTTATTTGAATAAATGATTTTCTATTCTATTCTATTCTATTACATGCATGTGAATATAAATACGGTACATATACGAAAATTTTTTTTTTATATATTTATCTGTCTGTCTGTCTCTCTGTCTGTTTGTTCCGGGTAATCTCTGAAATGGCTGGACCAATTATAACGGGACTGTTATTGGCAGGTAGCGGATGTAATAAGGAGTAACTTAGACCTCTTTAATTTTAGAAAAATAAAGTTAAATTCCACGCGACCGAAGTCGCGAGTACAGCTAGTCTTCTATATAATCACAATAATGTAATTCAGCGCTGACAATACAATTCTAGAATCTCGAAAAATCTAGAACAATCTAGATTGTTCGTTAATACCTGTAACTAGATCCCTGAGTGCAGATTGTTCATTTACGGGTACAGGCACGATCCGCAACTATTTCCGACCTGTTCAAACAGCTTGTTATGTAATTAGTAGAGAATTGCTGAATTATTGTTTAATGACTTGCTGATTTTGTTGTCAGTTGCAACAAATTTACGTATTTCTATGTTGTTGTGACGCGTTACCGGTTTATGTGTTTATAATATTGATCAGGAACCTTGTAAAGTCGTTGTTATTTGTTAACTATGTTATTTATTAAAACTATTATTATAAACTACTAACAGTGCCCTCTTTAAAGTTCTTTAAAGAGCGTGGTTTTTAAATAATGAATAAATTAATGAAATAATTCGGTGCCTAATTAAAGTTTAAAAATGTCATTGTTATTATTATTAATAATGATGCAAGATCGTGGAAAGTGGCAAGAGCTCCACCGATAAGAGCGTAGTTTTTAAATTATGAATCAATTAATGAAATAATTCGGTACCGATTTAAAGTTTAAAAATGTCATTGTTATTATTTTATTGTTAATAATGATGCAAGATCGTGAAAAGTGATAAGAGCGTGGTTTTTAAATTATGAATCAATTAATGAAATAATTCGGTACCTATTTAAAATTTAGAAATGTAATTGTTATTATTACTAATAATGATGCAAGATTGTAGAAAATGACAAGAGCTTCACCGATGAGAGCGTGGTTTTTAAATTATGAATCAATTATTGAAATAATTCGGTACCTATTTAAAATTTAAAAATGTCATTGTTATTATTTTATTATTAATAATGATGCAAGATCGTGCAAAGTGACAAGAGCTCCACCAATAAGAGCGTAGCTCTTAAATAATGAATGAATTAATGAAATAATTCGGTACCTATTTAAAATTTAGAAATGTAATTGTTATTATTATTAATAATGATGCAAGATCGTAGAAAATGACAAGAGCTCCACCGATAAGAGCGTGGTTTTTAAATTATGAATCAATTAATGAAATAATTCGGTACCTATTTAAAGTTTAAAAATGTCATTGTTATTATTTTATTATTAATAATGATGCAAGTTCGTAGAAAATGGCAAGAGCTCCACCAATAAGACCGTGGCTCTTAAATAATGAATGAATTAATGAAATATTTCGGTACCTTTTTAAAATTTAGAATTATTATTATTTTATTGTCCCCATAAATATTTCTGGTACAAACATTTGAGTCTGATCCAACTGGGTGTGTGACTTATCATGAACATCTTATTGCAGTTGTCCACACAATATGTCATTTTGTCGTCCTAAATCAAGATACTATATAATAATAATATATAACTTCACGACGGTTATTCTCGATTGAGTAGTCAGAAAATGTCTACTATTTAACTGATTGTCCAGTGATGGAATGAAATATACCATGCGAATAAGAGCGCATGCAAAGATTGTAAGGGTGATCAGTTTTTTGGAAATGATGAGTTATTTCCAGTGTCTTTATATAAAAAAAGCTATGGCCACTGGTTAAACACTAATCCTTTTATTAAAACAGTAAAGGGATGGCTCTGTTCAGCAATATAGTGCCTATAATTTCCCCTATATTGTTAAAAACAGAAAAAACCTCCACATTTTGTATGCATTTAAAAATAATGTATTAAATTAAAGAAATGATACGCACATATGTATAAATACAATCAGGCGGCTCAGCCCTATAACCTTTAATGAGCAATTCAATATGCTTTATAAAAATTAAATGATAGCATACGTAAGTATTATTTATATTATTAGAATTATTATTATAGGTATAGCCCATAAATAATAAATAGATTCATAAATTCAATGAACAATTTAATGTACCACAAAACTTATTTTCACTCTACTAATTTAACGGTAACGTCATCAATATCCATCAAGGACATACGGTGATAGGCCATGACCATCATCAATCACCGATGGTAGGGCATGTCACCGCATAGGTCAAGGAATCGCGGGGCGGGCGGCTGAGCGCGCGCAGGGCGGGCGCGTGCGTGGGCGGCTGATTTGTTTACGGCGGCAGTCCCGCGCCAGCGCCGCCAGCGCCGGTCCGCACCGCGAGCGCACCCTATCCAGTTCACGGTCGCTCTATTACCGGACGGCTATTTCGGCGCATCATTCCGAACGTAGTATTCAGTTTCGCGCGGGCAGGTGTGCGCAGGTCGAAATGCGAGCCACCCCTACGTCCTGACACATGTGAGCCGCGGCCATGGAGCGACGCCGTCGCTCACGCCTCGACGCGTCGGAACCCATGACGAAGGCAGTGAGACGCCGGGAGAAGCCGCGTGAGCGGTGGCTCCTCACCCGAAAGACATGGAAGTACATGTCGGATGCAGGACGCCGGCTGATACCGGATGGAGCACAAAACCGTCCTGAAGATGTGCCACGAATAGAGGCATATTTTCAGGAAGTGTGCGCCAAAGAGCCTAAGTTCTTGCTCTGGAGGAAGAGCTCTTACCCTGGAGCGTTGCCGCGACCACGACGTAAAAAACGTCCACGTGGTGGCTCTGTTAGGGCGAGATCTCCCTCCGATGAAATCCCACCACCACCAGTGCGTCCTACTGATCTATTCATCAGCCACACCTCAGGTGGACGCTTTGATATCGCCAAACTTAGGCGAGATTTCTTCGCAACCCCGCCTTCTTCAGCTTCCACTTCGGGATACACTAAAGGAAAAACAGTAAATGATGGGGCCTCCACTCTAACCCCTGTTGAGGATGATGAAAACAATCTAGTCGATTTATTGCGCAAGTACCTGAAATTAGAAGAAGAAGAAGGAGTATCAAAAGTATCAGAAAGCGAAGAGCTAGTGCGATCTCTTAAAAAGTATCTTAAGCGGGAATCTGAACGCACTCCCACCGATACTGATACAGATCCAGGTCAGAGGACCCTGCTGGAGAACCTTAGCAGATATTACGGTAGATCGTCAAACAGGGACCATATAGTGCAGGATATATTGACCGATAGGAATCTTTTAAAAAGACTATATCATGATCTTCGTAAGACTAAGCCATATAGAGGCAGTAGAGGTGGCGGTGGAGCCGGTGCCGGCGGCAGTGGTTATGGACCTAGTGGTTATTCAAGTGCGACTAATGCTTGTGCGCGAAATTTGCTGCGGCCACGGACTATTGGTTTTATACGTAATAATGACGGTGAGGACTCGTTACGATCGCCGCCGATGTCACCGCCACCGCTCATTGAAGTTTTCAGTGAGTCATTGGAAGATAAGTACGTCGATAGTGGAACACAGACTGTTCCAGTACCGGAGGAAATATTGGTTGAGTTGGAAAGGTTGTATCGGGAGAAGCAGGAAGTGGCAACCGTTCCAACGAGCCCAACGAGTCCACCTCCAGATCGGAGGCCTACACGTCGTCGTTCTAGCGTAGACCACGACGACGTATCTCAATCCGTTAGCGATACAATTAAACGTTATTTGCGAATGGCGAGAAAGAAAAGCGTAGACGCGGATAAAGCGGATCAGTTTAAGCGAATAAATTATGATAAGAATTTGCGTAATATAAAGCCTAAAGCGCCTGGGGTAGTGGACGATGACGGCCCGCACAAGGGTTGTCAGACGGAAGAAGCGTGGATATTAACGTATAGAGATTTGCAATTCGCATCGGTAGCGTCAACTCCGACCTCACCACCTTCTCCAGCGTCGCCCTCACAGTCGCACTCGTTTCTCTCTACGTTGCTGGGTCGTAGCGCACCTACAGTTGCTCCCCCTCCAGGTGGCATGCAGAAGTCGCGGTCCTCGAGCAGCGTGGTGCAGAGTGTCAGCAAACGGCTATGGAGGACGAGGAGCCGAAGTTCGAGTCGCGCTACAGCTACTTGGACGCCTCAGGTCAGTCGCATTGTATTCTGTGTTTTGGGCTCGTTGTGTTGTTGTATATTAGCTGTGCCTTAGTCTTATAGGCCATGTGTTATTCTTATGTATAACCTGCTAATTCTGTAAAATTTCATCAAAATCCGTCAGTAGTTTTTGCGTAATATCCATCCATACATCCATCCACCCATCCATACTCACAAACTTTCGCGTTTATAATATTAGTAAGATACTTATCACCATGTTTACTCTTGAAATCAAATCTACAAACAATAGTTTTGGAATGGATCATCCAGGTTCATTTTGCCCTTATTTTTTTTACTATTCGACACTATGTATTCACAAAAAATATTATTCTTGTAAAGCTGTATACAACATTTGTTTGCAAGAGTAGTAAGAGCCAAGATTCTTGTCTATTCTACTTAGATAGATGCAATATGAATATAGTATATTCAATAAATAATACAACTACTAATCAACAGTCTTTATAAAACTACTTCTGTTTGTTTGTCTAATGTGTATTTCAAATAAAATGGTACTGATATATATGCATTCAATAAATATATTTCTGTATACATGCAACTCTAAATTTTCACCCATCTATAACCCCTATTTTTAATAGCGATTTTAATTTGCCATATAAATAAAACAACATTGCAGGATCAGCTAGTATTATTATAAAACTCACAGGTATTGAACACATAATGATGGAAAACTGTGCAACATTAAACCGTTATTTGCAGTATACACTTTAAAATAACTAAATGAATAATGATGTGAAAACATTACGGCAATATTTCCGTTATTCACAACGTCTTTATATGTTGCCATAACAACGCGATTTCCACTCGTCAGACAGATGGCTGAGCATACCACATTCATCTCATAACAAATTGGCAAATTCGTTAGCACACATAAATAGTTATCGTTACCAGTAGGGATGTCTATATCCCCAGTTCTTAAACCATCGGTAAAGTTACATATCACTAAAGATAAACGATAATAATAAAAAAACATCTGCTTACCATGTTAAGGAAAGCAGATTTTTTTACATTATGTATTGTTATGGGACATCCAACTATAGGTAAAGTTATGTACCAATGATACACATCACTTACTATTGAAGATAATTTAAAAAAAAGTGCTAAATGTTTGTATATTAAACAATTATTAATATTTGTTAAGGAACATCCATAATATTTTCCTCTAAAGCAGACAACGATGAAAAGATCATTACGCGGTAGAACTAATAATAAAAATATCTAGAACAAAACAAAGTCTATTTTGTATGGCGATAAAAATATTTAATAAACTTTCTGATAACATACTAACTCTCTTTAGAATATTATTTCGAAGAAAACTGCATGTATGACTAGTGTAAAAGTGTTTCAGTTCAATTAAAAAGTTTATGGAAATTAAATTGATAAATAAGTATATTATGTGCCTGAGGGCATGTAGATATACATACAAACAATTATTTACCCTGGACAATTCACACAGCGCCATCTAGTACCAAGCTAAACAGAGCTTGTGTTATAGGTATTAGACAACTGATACATAGATACTTTTTTTTGGAAATACTTACATAAATACATGCATAGAAAACGCCCAAACCGATACAAACAATCATACTCGTTAATACAAATGTTGGTACCGTGCCAGGAACGAACCCGCGATCATTGGAAATGAAGCAGTGCGCTTAACCGCTAGGCCACCGAGTTCCTCTTTTAATTTTCATATACAATAACGTAACAAAATATATCAAAAAACAGTTGAATAATTATAAGTAAAGATTAATCGACTAGAAAGAATAAGCAAATTTTGCCATGTTTTATGTAACATCAGATATCTAATGTACCCAAAATATAATACAAATAAAGTTATTATTATTATATTTAACAGCCTCGGTAGTCTAGCGGGTGTAGTAATCGGTGGGAAATCGGAGTCTAGTAGTAGGTTTTACTTCCGATGGTCGCGGATTCGATATAGATCTAGCACAGTACAAACATTTGTATTCATGAGTATGATTGTTTGTATCAGTTTATGAATTATGTTTTTACGAAACAAAAATATATCTATGTATTTATATCAGTTGTCTAATACCCATAACACAAGCTCTGCTTAGGGACTAAATGCCGTTATGTGAGTTGACCATAGTTATTCAAGAGGAAAGTTGATATGTATAATATAAACATGTTAGTTATAGCATATTATGTTATCTGTGGTTATAGTATAGAACAAGTCGAGAATCAAACATTTGTAGTGTGTCTGTTTGAAGCCGGGGCGAGTCTCTGGTCTATACATATATACATATAAATAAAATTGGAGTGTCTGTTTATAATATTCCAAAAACAGTTTTTTACTACACGCATATGAATATAAATAAGGTACATACACCAAAATAACATTTTTTACAATTTTTGTCTGTCTGTCTGTCTGTTTTGTTTCCGGCTAATCTCTGAAGTGGCTGGACCGATTTTGACGGGACTTTTATTGGCAGGTAGATGATGTAATAAGGAGTAACTTAGGCTACTTTTATTTTAGAAAATAAAGTTAAATTCCACGCGGCCGTAGTCGCGGGTGCAGCTAGTAATTAATAAATGTAATATTAAAATTACAGTAACGTTGATATTCTTGAGTTGTAGTTGAGTAGTCCACTATTAATCGGCCAAGTAATGCCACATACGTCACTCAGACCTTCGCATAAAAAAATAAACCTTTGTTTCATCTTCATAAAATCTATTATGAAACGTATCAACGTGGCAAAGAATATAAAATGTTATAACTAGAATAGTTCTTGTTTACATTCCCTGTCGAGAATAACTGAAGTATATAGCTTCTATTGCCGTTACACTCAAGTTTGAACTCACTCACAATAACTCAGTTGCTATCAGGCAGTTTGTAATGAGTTAGGAGCCCACCTGATGGTAAGCGGACCTCGTTTTCTGGAAGTGAGAGTGAGAGTTTTTCATTAGGAGCGAGGTCCCCCAGCGGAATCTCTATAATAGTGATTCCCAAAACAGTCTATATCGACCCCCACGGGTCTATGACAAACTGCAACGACGACAGCGATCATCTAGTTGTTTTTACTTTATGTTTGTAACACTAAACTTTACTACAACTAAAAATTTACAAAAAATCAATACCAGTTAAGAATGAGTGGTCTAACCAAAACTGATAAATATGGCAAATAGGGGTCTACGACATAAAAAAGTTTGGGAACCTCTGTTCTAAAAGATCTACAAGACTTTTCTAGAACAACGTTACACAATGGCCGATCCATAGCACACGTGATAACCCTAGTTTTTCAAGCGTCTATAGGCTACGGTAACCGTTTACCATCAGATGGGCCGTATGATTATTTACCACCATCGTAGTATATAAAAAAAATCTAGTGGGCGCAATGATATTGTCATTACTAAGGAATAGAAATGTGTTATTTATATCCAACATATTTCTACTCCACTTCATTAAATCTCCGCAATGGGGATAACTGCAGTATATCTCATCCGTCATACTCGTGAACGCTTGTGGGGACTGGTCTTTTTAGGTTACGAACACTGATTAGACTATTTGCTTTTGCAATAGCATATGCTGGTGGTCCCTCTATTCTCCCAAATATAATTATAAAATGAATCAGCCAAAATTAATTTGAGAAGTATAGGAGCTGATTTCTTGTCAGTTCTTTTCATCTCGGAATCATTCTAGATCAGATCAGAACTAACAGTAGATTTGACATATCATAAGAGTCTCTAATAGATCATATATTACTATTATTATTTATGTCTATTCATTCTATCTTGCGCCATCCACCACCTTCTGTCTTTTGTCCTCTACCCAAAGGTTGTCTGGAAGAAATCTCATTAGCGATAAGACCGCCTTTTGTCCCTAGCCTACCTTTCTGTATATTATGAATATTGTTTTTGAGGTGCGATAAAGAGTTATAAATAAAATAAAAATAAACATAATATTTTGAATTTGAATTTAAGTGCAATATAACAGTATTTTATATATAATTTATATCCTAACTGGATATTATTTATTCTAATTTTAATTTTAAATTAAATTATAACTCTACAGATTTTAATATCTATCTTCTAATTTTAATAAATAAATAAATGTAATTTTAATTTAATATTATTGCAATTTTTTAACGCGAAATGCTGAATAATATTAAAAGAACCACTTAACAAGACCACGACCTTGGTGACATAAAAAATAAAAATAAAACAGCTATAAAAGCACAGCTGCTAGTAAAATAAGAAATATTTCATTGTATTAATAAATCCAATTCGTGAAAAATTTCCCTATGTTTAATTTAAAATATTTTATTATAATTTAACTTCCCAAACTTTTATAATTTAACTTTAACTGCAAGTGACAGATGTGCTAGATGCACATCTGTCACTTGCCTAGGGAAGTTAGTTGAGTATATTGTGTAACATTTATATTTATCTTCTGGTAGTCCATAAGCTTATTCGTTATTCAAATCAAATGAAATAAAAACAAATATCATTTATTCATATCTTAGCAAATATTTAGCAAATATTACTACAACTTATTTATCATTAAAATTAAATGAAATCAAAAATAATTTATTAATGTTTTAGCAAATATTACTACATAAAATATTTAAATATCAAAATTTAACAGCGTTTGTTTATGTACGACATTTTTCATTGTCATTATTTTATGTTGCTATTTAATTCTCGTAAATTCGACCTTCACGGCTGTCACCCCAGATAGGGTAGTTAGTAATGTTGATAACTAACTGCGCAATGATAAATGCAAAAGTACAAAACCATTCCATAAAACCTTCGAAATGCCCTCATTTCGGCAATTTACGCATTGTCGCAGAAGAGGGATCAATGGCCGTTCCCGCTTTAATTTGGTTTGTTATCGGTGTTTCCATCACTGGAGAGTTTGACAGAATTATACCACATTTCGAAACTACTACCGAGGTAGACTATTACCGATTCTCGGTTTGCATTTGTTTGTTATTAGTGTTTCAATTGGAG